ATAATATTTTAGGCTTAATGAATCTTCCATGAAAGCTATTTACGGATATCAATATTTGTAATTTTTGTTACTCCAACTAAATAAGTTAATCCAATTAAAATCCAAAATGAATATTTAGAAAAGTCCTTTTATTTTTTCTCAATATAAATATCCATCTAACTCCAAAAAATCAAATCCTAATCAATATTAGTGAAAAGCAAGCAAGTTTTCAATTAATCCTATTTAAATAATTAACTTTTTAAAATTTAAAATTTGAGGATGTTACACTTGCTCGAGCATCCAGTTCTAGTATCGCCATCTGATGAGAAACTCAACCAAACAGAGCGGGCAAACATACAGCCGAGCAGCCAGTGATGAATTGATTCACCCTGCTTAACGTAGAAAGGGACACTGGGAGGCCATGACTCCTAAGGGCTAGCCATGTGAAGATTTTGGACTTCGAAGACTACGGCTTCAGTGTACCGTTTTTCTGAAAATTTGTGTACTGGTGTATGCATTTGTATAACGAAGTAACTACATATGATGTGTATTTTTCTAGAAAGGATTAGATCTATTATAAAAGTTCATCGTAACCACAAGGCATGTCAAACATAATAAAAATTATATATATTTCGAGACGACCAAATGACTACTATTGCCACCAGAACGAGCCGACGCGCTATTGTCGCTACTACCCTAATGGAGTCGGCTTTACCTTCTCGATGACAACTGGGAAATTTTCGTGCATGTGTTCCTAAGGATCATCGCCCTGGAGACACAGTCTCATTGTTGAAACCTTGCATTGATCTGAAGCACCTGACGTCAAATCTCGCCACATGGCCAGAAACCCTAACCTTACCATCCCCAAAAGATGGCAGAAATCTATGTCGGAGCTCTGTCGACTACATCAAAATGGACGAACTCGAATAGGATTGAAGCTCGGAAGATAAACTCGGAGAAGAAGCGCCACCATCAGTTCGAGCGCCGCGCATGCGAGGACTAAAGAACCCTAACCTAAACTCCTAACCAGAGCGGAGGCACAAAAATTCTCCTCCCCGCCACTAGCCACCGGTGCAACAGGCAGAGGCAGTGGCGATTCTACCAGGGGGCTTTAATAGGCTTGAGCCTACCCTCCAAAATCCCATTTTAGTAAAATATACCACATGATAATTATATTGAGGTGCTTTACATGAAAAAACTACAATGTATTTTGTAACAAGGCTTTGTAAATTAATCTTTCAAGCCTACCCTCCATTGTCATGCTAAATTCGCCACTGAGGGAGGCAAATCCACAGGTTCGTTGATGAAGTCTGGAGGTGAAAGTTTAGAGTAGCCGCCTAGGGTTAGGATAGGAAACTAGAGATGTTTGTTTGAACTTGGTTATTTGTTGTCGGTATAACTAATGTTTACTAGCTAAAATAGGATGTGGCTAGGTCTTAGTCGACTGAGACTTAATTAAGTCTCAGTCAAGTGATATAGTATAAGAAAGAGAAAGAAAAAAAACTGAAAAGAAAATTTATATACGAATCTTCATGTAAGATCAAATAAATATAGCATCGACTGAGACGTAACAAAGTCTAAGTCCAGTAAGACTTAGAAAACTGTTAGAAATAATAATTTGTCAGATCGAGAACCACGCGCATGACAATTATATCCTCTGAATACACATTACATGCATATATACATTGACCATAAAGAACACATCACACTAGCACACCGTCTGGCATGTACGCAACATCCTCCGACAAGCAACAACATTCAAAGCACAGCGCCAAACTATTGGCATAATTTTTTACTACCACCCCACCCTAGCCATTATTGGTGACGTACACGTACGCTTAGCTCAAAATGACGAACTCCACAACTGAGCTCCAGCTGGTAGTAATACTGTAGTATGCATGGGCATGGCTGCATCGCTCAACGCTTGACTAGCACTGCTAGTTCTTACTCTTAGGAGGAAGGCGGTGGTGCATGAGGGACAGCGCGCAGCATGAGGTGCGTCTTCCTGGTCAAGCTCAGCGACACGGTCTCGGTCATGTCGAGTCGATCGACGCCCTCCGGGAGGCTCCAGTCGAACGAGTGCAAGAGCTGCACCAGGGTGAGCTCCATGCTAGCCATGCCGTAGTTGAAGCCGGGGCACATCCTCTTCCCGGACCCGAACGGCGTGTACTCGAAGCAGCCGCCATGGAAGTCCATGCGACTCCCCTCAAACCTCTCTGGCCTGAACTCCTCAGCGTCTTCCCAGTACTGAGGGTCCCTCATGATGGCCCATGAATTTATGATCACTCTCGTCTTGGCCGGGATCACGTACCCGTTGATCTCGCAGGCCTCCGTGCTCTCTCGAGGCACCAGGATGGGGGCTGGTGGGTGCAGCCTGAACGTCTCCTTGATCACCAGGCCCAGGTACTTGATGCAGCTGCCGCTCGCCCGGAGATCGGTCTCGGAGATGAACTCCTTGCCGCGGAACGCCTCCCTGATCTCGCCTTGCAGCTTCCTCATCACCTTTGGGTTCATCATCAGCTCTGACATGGCCCACTCCATGGAGGTTCCTGATGTCTCTGTCCCACCCGCAAATATGTCCTGTATAGGCATGAAAATCTTATTTTAATTGATGCGTATATATTTTTATATTTATTTAAAGGATCATTCTAAATGAATGCTGAAGCGTGAAGGTCTTATGAATTTTTGTGTTAGGTTTCAATCGACTGAAACTTGACCAAGTCTCAGGCAAGTGATATACTAGTATGTAGGAAAAGAGAAAAAATAAAAAAAAATTATTGTACAAATCTCCATGCAAAATCGAAAGAAGATATGTATTGACTGTAACAAAGTCTCAAACGACGAGACTTGGCAAAACTGAAAATTATACTGTCGTGGTAGTAGTAGCACTAACCAGGACAACTGCTTTGACAGTGGAGCGGGTGATGGGGAAGCCAAAGTCTTCATTCCCAATGAGGCCGAGGAGAACTTCCACCAGGTTCTTCTCCGACGCGGTTGACCTGCCACTCTTGAGGATTTTCTCCCTCTCGTCGATGATCTCCTCCAGGATGCCGTCGATGGTGTCACGAACGCCCTCGAGGTTCCTCCTCATGCCGGTGAGGAAGCTGAGGATCCCCGTGAAACCAGGGAAGAGGTCAGGGATGGAGAAGCCGGTGCTGTAGACGAAGCTGTGCTTGATGGCCGCCACGAAGTCCTCGGCCTTGCTGCTCTTCATGCCGAACGCCGCCCGGGAGACGATGCCGTTCGTCAATTTGTAGATCTTCCTGCTGAGGTCCAGCGGCGCCGACGGCCCGGCCGCCCGGATGTCCTCGACGAGGCTGCGAACCTCGTCCTCCCTGACGTCCTGGAAGGAGCGGATGCGGTCGTTGCTCAGGATCTCCTGGACGCACAGCTTTCGGAGCTTGCGGAAGTAGTCGCCGGGGGTGGGGCAGAAGAGGAGGTCCGTGGAGCCGTAGGCGACGATGTCGCCGGACATGAGCTTGGGCCGGGTGGCGAAGATGGCGTCGTGGGTCTTGAGGATCTCGCGGGCGACCTCCTTGGAGGTGACCACCACCACGGGCACGTGCCCGACGCGGAGGTACATGAGCGGGCCGTACACGCCGGCCAGCTCGCGCATCGTGCGGTGCGGCAGCGCGTTCACCAGCCGGTGCGCGCTCCCGATCACCGGCAGGTTCAGCGGCCCCGGCGGCAGCCGTGGTCGCGGCTTCAGGAGCTGGACAGCCGCGATGGCTAACACCGACACGACCAAAGCAGAGCACAGGTAGACAAGATCGTCGTCCATGGTGAGAACCATGATGTTGTGTTGGCTGTGCTCTTCCGGTTCGTGAGACTTCTTATAGCCCGACCGGATGCACGCACAGTACTGTCCACCTTGGGTGATTGGATTGCTTAGGTATGCACACACGTACAGCCTACAGCATAGACCACCGTGCCCATGACGACAAAATGGCATCGGGTGATCAGTACCAAACGAAAGATGCCTATCTGTCACTCCTTTTACTAGCAGATACAAACAACATGCATGTGATATTGGAGTTTACTAGAGCATTTGTTGTTTGCATCTGATTGGGACTTGTTCTGCTTGTCCTAGCTCGTGAACAAAATGGTATCGGAAGACGTGGACCCAACGAAGATGCCCGCGGCTTTACATGGCACGTCATATCCTGTTAGGCAAGATTAACCTCGAGATATTCTCGAAACATGCTTTCGTTCCTCTTTATAAACAAAGGCATAACCCAAACATAGTAGACAGAGAAACGATATAAGATGGTGAGATAACCTTCTTACAAAGCGGACCCTAGGCTACCTGAGACGCGTAGAAGGTAAGAGACTACGCTACCGAAAGAGAACACCAGAGAAACTAAGAACAACCCCACGCAACACCCTAGAACACGTAAGCTCCTCAACAACGCCCTCCAGCAGGGAATGGCGCAAAATGTCGTTGCTTCTTAGCCACATCGAGCAAAGGGTCTTCACCCGAAACTCGGACTCGGAGAAGAGATCCATGCATGACGACGTCTTCAAGAAGAGAGCAGCGCAAAAGTGCGGAGCATTCACTCGGCACCGCACCCTTGTCACCACGAGGCCCCCAAGGCAAGTGCGACGTGCCTTGGCCCTAAATCCAGATCTGGGTGACGTCAAACCGAGGACGCGCCTGAGCCACGATCCGCTACCCTCTCGACGCCCACACGCCCGAGAAGGTAGCCACCACCACCCCATGGTGCCCGCCAGAGAGCCAGCCAAGCGAGCCGTCATCCAGAGCCACCACCCCGACATCCATGTCCAAGACATGACCCACCGCCAACAGCACAACGTACCAACCATGACAGGAGGAGCAAAAGAACGAAACTTCCATTCCTATCCCGGCATCAGACAAAGAGTTTGGGACGGGGTCACCACCGTAGATGCCCCATCCCTGTGAGCCCATGCAGTCCCAGTGGACTACGGGGGCACAACTCCGTGACTCCCGATGATAGTCATCAAGCACCCTCGCACGACACCATGTCTGTGGCCCTCGACGCCGCGCTGCCGACGATGAAATGAAGTCTTGACCACCACCGACGTCCACCGCACCCAGGGAGGGAGGGACCTCTCCACTCACATCCACCCTACCCGGAGTCAAAACTCCAACTCACCTCGGGGCCCAACCAGATCCGCCCTAGTTCAAGCCCCCGGTCACCGCCATGCGGCCGTCATAGACGGAGGAGAAGGTAGCCTGCAACCACCCTACCACGCCGCCAACGAGTGATACGTCTCCAACGTATCTATAATTTTTGATTGTTCCATGCTATTATATTATCTGTTTTGGATGTTTAATGGGCTTTATTATACACTTTTATATTATTTTTGGGACTAACCTACTAACCCAAGGCCCAGTGCAAATTGCTGTTTTTTTGCCTATTTCAGTGTTTCGCAGAAAAGGAATATCAAACAGAATGAAACCTTCGGGAGAGTTATTTTTGGAACTAACATGATCCAGGGGACTTGGAGTAGACGTCAAGAAAGGATCGAGGAGGCCACGAGGCAGGGAGGCGCGCCTGCCCCCTGGGTGCGCCCCCACCCTCGTGGGCCCTTCGCAGCTCCACCGACCTACTTCTTCCTCCTATATATATATATATCCATATACCCCCAAAACATCCAGGAGCACCATGAAACCTATTTCCACCGCCGCAACCTTTTGTATCCAAGAGATCCCATCTTGGGGCCTTTTCCGGAGCTCCGCCGGAGGGGGAATCGATCACGGAGGGCTTCTACATCAACACCATAGCCTCTCCGATGATGTGTGAGTAGTTTACCACAAACCTTCGGGTCCATAGTTATTACATAGATGGCTTCTTCTCTCTCTTTGAATCTCAATACAAAGTTCTCCTCGATCTTCTTGGAGATCTATTCGATGTAATTCTTTTTGCGGTGTGTTTGTCGAGATCCGATGAATTGTGAGTTTATGATCAAGATTATCTATGAACAATATTTGATTCTTCTCTCAAATCTTTTATGTATGATTTGTTATCTTTGCAAGTCTCTTCGAATTATCAGTTTGGTTAGGCCTACTACATTGATCTTTCTTGCAATGAGAGAAGTGCTTAACTTTGGGTTCAATCTTGCGGTGACCTTTCCCAGTGACAGCAGGGGCAACAGGCATGTATTGTATTGTTGCCATCGAGGATAAAAAGATGGGGTTTATATCATATTGCTTGAGTTTATCCCTCTACATCATGTCATCTTGCCTAATGCGTTACTCTGTTCTTATGAACTTAATACTCTAGATGCATGCTGGATAGTGGTCGATGTGTGGAGTAATAGTACACTACTAGAAAAAGGGCTATAGATGGGATTGACACTAATGGCGCACCAGACAAGCGGTGCGCCATTAGTATATACTAATGGCGCACCACCTTCTGATACGCCATTAGAGCTGAAACTACTAATGGCGCACCTGGCCCAGGGTGCGCCATTAGTATCAATTTTTTTTGAACTAGTGCGCCTGTCCAAACATACTAATGGCGCATCCAGACACAGTGCGCCATTACTAGTTACAACTAGTAATGGCGCACCTGTCGGAAAGTGCGCCACTAATATTGTTTTTTTAATTATATTTTTCATTCCTTTTTTTGCAAAACTACTAATGGCGCACTGTGGAACAATGCGCCATTAGTATGTTTTTTTTGCAAAACTACTAACGGCGCACCACCAGAAGGTGCGCCATTAGTAACCTGGATTACTAATGGCGCATTTAGAGTTGATGCGCCATTAGTAAGTGGGCAGCAACAAGATATTTTAGACAACCTCTCCTACCCACACTCACTTTCTCCCCACTTCATTCTCTCCACCTCCTCCTTGTCTCGGGTGCCTCCTCTTTTTCACCTCATTTCCACCATAGATTCATTCAATTTAACTGGTTAAATTACCTTGTTTTGATAGGTAAGTAAGGGAGGAAGCTATATTTATGTTGTTCTCCCTACAACAATGTGCACATGCACTTTTTATGGCCTAGCTAGATCTATGTATGTTCGTGGTGTTGCATATGTTTGTGGTGTTGCATATGTGTTTGTGTTTGGAGGTGTACCGGTATTTGAAATGCGATAGTTGCCAATATTTTGCCGGAATGTTGATTCATTTCCATTTCGGCGAGAATTTTGGCATTAAGCATTCTTTTTGGTCCTATTTTTAGGGAAAGTCATGCCAAAATTTTTCTTGGTTCTAAAATATCGTTTTGCTCTACCCCGCAGGCGACCATGGTCCGCACGATGACCGAAGGCATTGTGAATAGGTTTTTGAGGTCCGCAAAGGCCGAGATGCTTCAAAAGAACGAGACGGAGATAAGATGTCCGTGTCGAAGATGCAAGCTGAAGAGCCTTATTGCGGACCCGAAATCCGGACAGGTGCGGGACCACCTGCTCTTGCGTGGTTTCATGGATGGCTATCGGTGGCAAGGTGATGAAGATGACTATGAAGTCGTCCATGGGGGCCGGGCAAGAAATGAGGAAGGGCAGCAAGACAACCACCGTGGCTCGGGCGGGCGAGAAGACGAAGAATCCCCAGGAGATGATCACGACGGTGATGCTGTACACAGTCATCATGTAGAAGATGCAGGACATGATTATGAGGAAGATGCCGGAGCAGACGACGGGCATGATCATGAAGATGATGATGCCGGCGGAGCAGACGACGCTGGACCATCGATGGGCTGGGTGCAGGACCCTCATATTCAAGAGCTGCTTCTCAAGCAGACGGATAACGCAAGAGCTGCCGCCCGAGAGAAAGCCAAGATGGATCAACTTGAGTTAGACGCAGTTACTCCATTGTATGAAGGATGCAGGCCCGAGGATACCCGCCTGAAAGTAACGCTCATGGCTCTGGAGATGAAGGTAAAACACAAAATGACCGACGCATGCTTCGACGAGAACATGTCATTCTGGCACGAACGTCTTCCCAAGGGGAACAAGTGCCCGACCAGTTTGGAGGAGGCGAAGAAAATCGTGTGTCCTCTGGATTTACCGCACGTGAAATACCATGTGTGCATGAACAATTGCATCATTTATCGGGACGATCACGCGGAGTCTACCATATGTCCGGTGTGCGGCATCACTCGATACAAGAAGAGGAAGAAAGCTCCTCGAAAAGTGGGTGGTACTTTCCGATCACTCCTCGTCTGCAGCGGTATTTCGCGGACCCTAAGGTAGCAAATCTCCTGCGTTGGCACGCGGATAGGGAGGAGAAGAAGCGAGAAGATGACGCAAATGATCCGGAGATAGATAAAAAGACAAGATGCTGAGTCACCCTAAGGATGCGAGCCAGTGGCAAGCATTGAACTTCGAAGACCCAGAATTTGGGAACGATCCAAGGAACATCGTGCTGGGCGCGAGCACCAATGGAGTCAATCCGTTTGGCAGCCAGAGAAGCACACATAGCACCTGGCCTGTGTTTGTGTGGATGTACAACCTTCCCCCCTGGTTGTGCATGAAGAGGAAGTACATTCACACGAGTATGCTAATTGAAGGACCGAAACAACCAGGGAACGACATCAATCTATATCTGGGGCTGCTGAAAGAGGAGCTTGACACGCTGTGGAAAACGCCAGCCAATACGTGGGACACCGCAGAGAAAGAATATTTCCCTATGAGAGCCGCGCTGCTCACGACGGTGCACGACTATCTCGGTTACGGATATGTCGCGAGGTAGGTGGTCCACGGATTTTCTGGATGCGTCAGGTGCATGGATGGCACAACGTATCGCCAGCTAGATAGAGATCCCGGGTCTTCAAAAACCGTGTTCATGGGACATCGAAGGTGGCTTCACGACGATGACCCGTGGAGAAAATGCAAGGATCTGTTCGATGGTGAAACCGAACCCCGAGGACGCCCGCGTACGAGGAGCAGCTGTTGAAAAATTGGAAAGACTACCCACTGCCGGGAAAGAAGCAAAAGGCGCCAGAGCCGGGAAAGAAGCGAA